AGATTATCATCAATAAATAAGAGGCCTAGAATATTCTTGCCTCTAGCAAGTCTTAAGCCACCTCGTGTTCATCCACAAAATTCAATTGTGCCATGGAAACCTGTGGTCAAGGTGGAGGAGCAATTGGTTTCCAATCGAATTCAGGTACTTTCAAATATCCCTTGGCAATCCTGTAGATAAAAGTTAGCATGGGCCTGCAGTGAAAAGCCTCGTTCGTTCTACTCAGCAGTTCAATACTATGATCTGGGGGCGATAAATGCTGCCTGGTGGGGGAGGTGTACGGCTACGAAGGTCCGGTGGTGCCGATACTATGTCGCCCGTATTAAGAATCAGGACTTCTTAGTGAGTAGTACAATTTGACTTACATGATGCATCCTCCGCGCCGGTCAATATATCAATTTTCCTCGGAACAGTGAGTGTTCTTTGTGATGGAAGAAGGCATCGTTGAATCTGGATGTGCGTTGAGCCTGAGTAAATAGTGTAGTTGGCTGGTTTGTCAGTGGCAGCGATTTCGTATATGTTAGGCCGTCCACCGTGGGCTGGGCGCTAGTGGGAAGTAAGTTTAGATCAACCACGTGAAACCGTTGAATGCTTAGTGTGTCTTGGAGTGGTCGGCGATGAGACATAATCAGTTCGTCGCCAGTTGATGACAAGATCGACTCGACATGGGAAGTTAACGAGGGTCGGGAGGGGAAAATTCAGACAAAGGTGAGTTACATGCTCAACAAAGTGAGGAATGTAGATAAAAAGCCGAGATTAGACGCGTTGTGGTGCTGTTGATCCACCGCCAAATATCACTGTGCAGCTTTGCATGGTGTCCAAGTTAAGTCCAGTTTTCCAACCACTCTGGGCGGCCAGCAAGTTTGTGGAATATTAAGTGGCTGTATTACCTGAGAAGTCATGATGTGGACACCGATTAAAAAATGGTGGTGTGCCTACAGCGAAGCCACTGGCTGTATGGTTGGCGGGTGTTTAGGGTTTGTCCTGGGGAGAAACTGACAGACACAAAGACCAAACATCAATTATTCAGTCTTGTCATACACCCACGAATACGAGACCAAGGAAGAACACGACAGCGTAGTCGGATGGAATAGTATATTTGGGTGGTTGTACCAAGATACCGATGCATTCCAACTAAATGGCTAGAGAGTCGAATACGAGCAGTGCAACGTAACACGACAGCGTGCCAAATGGCGAGGATGCTTGACCGGGTGCCTTTAGCTTAATGAGTCCGGTTAAACTATCAAGGTCAGCATCAATGTTGAATGTCGTTGAACCCTAAGCCATCGATTTTGGGGAAGTGTGTGACGCTACAAGTGGAAGCAGTGGCGGGCTAGCCAAGGGGCTGAAATGATTCTGGGCATTAAGTTTATGCTTAAGATTAGTTTGTGTTCTGCCAAGTTGCTATAAGCCAGCAGGTTTTCGTTGCCGTTCTGCCAGTCATAGCTTCATGGTGGAACGATTATGATGCTTTCGATTCCTGAACTTTTTGACCCGGCACGTATTTGCTACATGAGATTTCGAGTTTACAACGCTGAGATGGGATGAGAACTCGGGGATTTAAACTGCGTAATTGTTTGCCGAGTGTGCAGTGACTTCAAGGAATGCTAGTTATCTATATTCTTAGGTCCACTGAGTTCAGCGGAAATTGTGACGTACGGCAGTTAGTCAAGGGGGTTCGTATATTATCACATGAACATCAGTTAGGGGATTGTTCAGTGCACTTGGTGGTGTGCTAGAGTGTATCAAGATCAACTGTCAATGTATTATCCATCACTGTTCGTGAGCATGAGATCACTGGTGTAGGCACGCCAATGACCTCAGTGTTTACCTTTACGTACGGGAGTTCTGAGAGATTTTTGCAGTCGATAGAACCCGTGGGCGTCGTTAGCGATTTGGAGGCTTCTCTTTGGATTGGTGCGCTATGTTGAGCTATGCTAAACGCGTGGCAGTGCATGTTTTTAAGTATTTCTTGCCTGCCATGAAGAGCATCTGCATCCAGTGATGAACTGAATCTGGCCATGACTGGACAGGATATATCCTTTGAAGACTTTTGAGTCTATGACAAGAGCATGCCATATCATTCGTATGCAGTGGAGTCAGAAGCTTGCTTTTCACCATGCTAGGTTGAGCAGCGTCAGGAGCACTGTAGATAATAATTTTCTTTTCATGGGTTTTATGCTGCTGCACTTTCGTCGTAACGGACTTATTCAACTCTATCAGGTCAAATTTTGATTCTGAAGCTTGCAAAATTTATGAGATGTGAGGTGGATGCCGTTGATGGGGACGAAGTATCAAAAGCGTGGGTGTGTTGGTCAGGTGACTGTTTCAAAACCTCATCGTATAAATTTCTGGTGGTAAAAAACAATCCGTCTATTTCTCGTGAGCTGTGGCCGAGATTTTGCTTAAGTTACTGATAAACGGAATTAAACCGCTTAATTTAAATCTCAGGTCAACAGGTGCTAAAAGATGTGACCCCAATGACTTTCCAGTCGAATGATAATCACAATAATACATATCTCTGAATATACAGAGACACACCAGTTCCACAAGTATGAACAGATTACCATATAAATGACATGCCTTTTGATAGCGAATAACCTCAGTCCCCACCTATTCAACGGGGGATAAAAGTGCTACACGTTTATAGAGTTAAACACCCTGGTAGAATGAGCAGACAGAAATTTACAGGCGCGACAAGTGAAAGCATTCACCTCACATCAATGGAAAAAACCAGTGTGTATCCGTAAATTACATGTATTACCCGGATAAAAATAAGGCTTGGCGCAACTCCATGCATTGTAATGGTCTGCACTTTTTCCTTAGCATAAAAAAGAAACGTGCCTTAGGCAATACGTTCACAAGTTGTTTATATGTTGTATCAAATGATGGAACGAAAGAGTAAAATATATGCACTTAAATAGCACAACACAACGAAAAGCAACCACCTCACTGAATATAAAGAACGAGAGATATGTATAAACGTTTCAAAAAGAGAATTTAGGAGAAAAATCTCTGAGCAGGGTTGTGTAATCGTGAAGCTACATCGTCGTTCTGGACGGCATCACCAGCACTAACTTCAATATGAAGTGAGCTGTCAATATCTCTCCGTGAGGGATTTAGTTGCTTGCTCCGATGATGTCTGTGATTGGTTGTTTCCCTCGATTGTTGTGTCATTGACTGTGCAGACTTTTCTGTCGGCTGTTCCTCTGCTTCACCTCCGATCTTACCGTCGTCTATCATTTTTCTCATTAGTTGGGAGACTGGGCCTACGTCCATACATTTGCTGATTGCTGACTGATCTGGATGCCAAGCTTCTAGGAATTCTCTGACAGTCTTTATTTCCTCTGTCCAAAATTTCTACGTTGTCAAGACTGAATTCATGTCTGTAATTGTCCACATGAGCTGAAATGAGTGGTGAAATGTCGTGGCGTTTAGTAGCCAATTGGTGCTCACGTAGACGGAGGTGAAGATGGTGGCCACGTTGTCCAACGTAGTGTTGAATACGGTTATTGCAGTTGATTTTGTAGATAGTATTCTGTTTGTCTTCTTTGATTGCTGCATCCTTTGGTCTGCGTCGCATTGTTCCGAGGCAATTTTTCGGTTTGTGAGCCATATCAATTCCACGTGGTCTCGATAATCTTGTTGTGATTTCTGGTATATTTTTTATGAAGGGTGGGACGATGCGCTTATTGACTTCGGTCAATGACTTTGTGGTTGATGATGCACGGGATAGGCATCTTACTATAAAGTTTCGTGGGTAGCCGTTCTTCTTTAGAGTGGATATCTAGTAATTTTCTTCATTTCCCCGTGAAGTTATTGTGCTGCATTGTGTTCTCGCCCTTTTGACTAAAGTCTGCGTGCAAATGACCTTTTGTGCTGTTGGGTTGTTGCCATTATATTTGGGGATTTTGTCAGTGCGTGTCAGCTTTCTGTACACTCGGGTTTCCAGGTTTTCAGTATTTGTCCTACTGACTAAAACATCCAGAAATGGTGATTGGTTGTTTGACTCTTTCTCCATTGTGAATTTGACGTCAATGAAAACGTTATTGATCAAACTGTGTGTTTTCTATGTCATCCTTTTTAATGATGATAGGAGCGTCGTCCACATAGCGAATCCATATTTTCTGCTTGACCGCAGGTAGAATGATGGCTTCCAGTCTATGAACCACTGCCTCTGAAAATAATCCAGGTATCGGTGACCCCATTGGAGTTCCTTTCATCTGGTTGTATATCTTGCTGTTGAACTGGAAGCATGTTGTCAGCAAAAGGTTAACGAGTTCCATCAGACTTGAATGTTTGAATTTTGTGCATTCTGAAAGATTTGTGTCTTCGTAGAGCAGAAGGGATATGGTTTCCTTAGCCAATCGAGGTTCAATGGATGTGTAAAGTTCTGTATCATGGAAGGATACCTATAAATGGTCATTTTCTATGTTTGCGTTTTTGTTCCTTTCTAAGTATTCCGTGGGAGACCTGATGAAACGTCCGCATGGTTCAACTAGTTGTTTCACTTTTCTTGAAAGTTCCCTCGATATGTTGCATGTTGGAGTTCCCGGGAGTGAGACTATTGGTCGTAGAGGGATGTCTAGTTTGGGTAGTTTTGATCTCCCGTAGAACCGAGGAAAGGTGGGTGCAGCGGTCAGAATCCAGTAGTCTTGACCTGAACGCCGGAAATAACTAGGCGGTGCCAAATAACGCCAATCCGACTAGTTCTTGCGTTCTACGACCAGGTCGGTTGTTGAACTGACTAGTGAATCATTTGCGCTACCGATGCTTGTTTCAAGGCCGCACACGGATTGTCGAGGCCATCTGATCGCGAACGCGAATCGTAGGCGGGTTTACATTGGTGTTTAGTTGCTCCTGAAATAGATCAGGTAGGTGGGAAGTTGAGCTCTGGAGATATTCGATTAAGGGATTTGGAGAAATATTTGCTGGTCAACAAATTATTGCAAACGGTTCTGTGCACCTAACAATCTAGTGATTGCATCTGTTCAATAGAAATGAAGCTGACGGACGTGCTTCTCATCAGGAAAGTTATACCATTCATGCCATGTGACAGATGGTTTCGAAGAGACCAGTATATGAAGTTTGCGTTTGTAAGATCTTTCCTGCAATAAAGAAATAGTGATTTTAGCTTTTCAGAGGTCGAGCAGCCCGTTGTCCCAAACTAGGCACAAATCGCGTAATCAAAGCCTTGCAATATGTCAAGGACTTGAGGAAGGTACGGAGAGAAGAAATGAAGTCTTTGTGGATGAAACGACTGGAAATAGCCAGCGAACAATGCGGTCTTCCCAGTGCTATGGCTCTATGTGAAGGTCTGGCGCAGTCAAACGTTGCTCTCAATAAAAATATGCTGCAAATTTTGTCTATCTATGAGCCTAGAACGTTTGCAGTAGGTTACGGTTTCACTTATTTTTTCCGTTAGGCTTTGGTGGACTTATCTAAACAGTATCATCTTGAAAAAGGGGTGACCGTTTGTAATATGTCACCACCGCAAAAAGTTGTTACTAGAGGTCTACTTACTTCACCTATTGTTCCTGGAAATCGAAAGTTATACGAATAACACTGTACTTAGTACGCTTTAAATAAATCGCACTATGCCATTCTTATTGTTTTCGTTACTTTGTGTTCACTTTAAATTTACTGTCACAAAATGTGGTGTTTTAGTCCTTCAGTTGACGGAGTCACTGTGAAGCTGTGGGATGATTACCTTTCTTGGAGTTAATCGAAAGTCCTTATCTTTATGTGAGTCACATAGTCATTTTGAAGATGGACCATGATAAAAAGAAACTTATTTCTTCACCAGAAGGATATTTTAGAAGAAGGAGCTCAGCATCAGTTACACGATCTAGCTTTACAACCCTGGATCATATGCGTTCTGCATGGAACCAGATAAAATATGGTTGGTCTCTTCAACTATGGCCTAATTTTGATCGTAACTCCATCATATACATGCTTGGTAGATCCTACTTTGACGCCGCGCCAGGTGAGTACATTGATGTTCGTTTCAAAAACCGGTGTATTCTTTTTTGCATACATGCAAAGAAACCCATTTTGTGTGCTGATTTTATACTGCATGTTATGTATATGTATACATTTTCCATACGATGTGAGGCAACCTAAACTGCTGTATATTAGTTGCGGTTGGACAAGTTTAGACTAAAGGGAACAAATTTCTAGTTAGCATCTATCCTAATCGCCAAATTTAGTTTGCTCCCTTATTTACAAACTTAGTGTCTTAGGGATATGTAATGGTGTATGCGCTTGACATCCATTGAGGCACATCTTTTTACGTGCAAATTTTTGCGTGAATGACTTGTAATTGACTATTGTGCAATTTAGGGCTCATACCCTACCACATTGACTTTCATCAACTACACTAACTAGATGTGGTCATATATTTAGTGGTAAAGAAAAAAAGAAGTTGAACCAAATGTAAAGTTGAAGGTATTTTCGTAACCACATACTGGTAAACCAGTGACTGATATGTTTTTAAATGTTTCTGACAATCAGATACTTGGGAGAATTAACTTTAAACCTATAGAAAGATACTGTTTGACTTAGTGACCGTCGACATCAACACGGCTGTGGATAAAGATAAAGCATGTCCGCACTGTTGTTATCATCATAGAGCTGTGGATTGTTGGTTTAGGCAATCTGCTTCCAAACGATGCATCATGTTTTTGAATTTCGCTACACCCTACCGAGATACGAGCAGCAAGACGGTATTCCTGACCCACACAATAGTTATGGCACATTGTCTATTGTACGAACACTCACGTAGTCGCTGAACAAGTTCCCGTTTGATATTATCAGTTGTTGGAAAAGACTGGTGAAGAACTATCATTACGTACGGAGCATCAGCTTAAACCTGGCCTTACTGAGTAAGAAACATGCAACAAGAGAGTCTTCACATACTCAATCTAAAGATAAAAACGTGAAGTGTGGACATAAGAGAAAACTCAACATATTAAATATATCATGGCAGCTATTATCACCTTGGCTTAATCTGGCGTTATGTTGACTCGGTTGTAAATAAAAGTCACGACTTGATGGATATGCTCTTTTATCACTACACTGCATAAAACAACTTACAGTGATGATGTTATGTGTAAGCAAAAGGTAGGTAGATCGTTCCAGAAAGTTATAGACTTTGTGATGATTTGGCGTATGTATGGTGGAGATCTGTGAGATTTTAAGCATATAGTGGGAGACTGGGTCACATTCCGGAATTTACCACATTGTCGCGTATTTATTCGTAATTTATCTCCCTGAAAGAATTGAAATTTGTAACAATCCTAGCTTCTTTGTCTTTCTTCTGTTCACATCTATTTTCTCATTTCATAAAACATATTATTTCTGCTTTCTGCTTCTGTCCTGTTACAACGTGTGGTGACTTGAATTAACACCTTTGCGCTAATTGATACCTTATGTCTCTGTAGATGGTCATTACGTGTGGCTCATTGCCTACTGTGCCGATGTACACAAAGTTGCTGACTGCATTTCAAACCCTTAACGTGATACATCACCTTACTTCAAATGAAGTTGAAATGAGCCGTTTTTTAAGGTATTCTTTGTTCCTAACCATTAGCCAAAAGTCCGTCATTGGTTTTTTTTCACTAGTCCATGCTTTTATGGAGTTACATGCGAACATTTGGTGACAACGACTACTCACCATCGTCTGGTAGATACAATGGGTTTGCGTTTGTGTTTTTAGTTCTTATCAGGCTTACGTTTCCGAGATGAGTTCCCAAGGATTCGTTGAAGTTAGTGGAATTGGTGTAATTCACCTCATATGATCACAATCCACCTCTACGGATCAAAAAACCCTAGTAAGCTGCGGTTTACTCTTCTCTTAACGGTTTTGGAGAGTTATTATGTGCAGTAAAACTGGATCCTGATTGTGTTTCGATACCAAGCACCTTCGGAATGTCGATGTAGTCATAAAATGGATGTTGTATATTTTTACTACTCCATAGTTTTTATTTCAAAAGTCGTAAAGAACTCAGCAACCACATGGTTATTCATGCAGTAGTCAGTGAGCCACACATTATGTGAGGGCCAGTGATGCTATGTGACTGTCCAGACTTCGATAGGTGTAGTGGAGTCCGAATCAGTGGCCCCTTTATTGGAGATGTTTATTTAACTCGAGTGTCTCGGTTGACCGTTCAGTTTACACACAGTTTGTAATTTTTTGAGGATTTTCGAAAGTGTGTGTCTTTTCGATAGAAATTGTGTTAAGCTTATTGTTTTTTGTAATGCTTTACTCCTCGCTTGCCTGTTGATATCTCTGGTCTACGTGCCCAGTAGTTCTAAATATTTAGGTGCGAATCAAAATCTGACATGAGATCGTTTTTCTCATTATTCCACAAATCAACAAGGTTTTGAAAAATATTTGTATTCGATAGTTAGTATTAAAACTGATTTTATGTTTGTTATTAAATACTACAGATAGTCTTCGAAACATTCCACAGGATATAAATGCGGATGGAACTTTCTCAGATTTTACTATTGACTTTGCAAGTAGGTTATGGTTCACTTACCGAGATAACTTTGCTCCTCTGCTGAGAAGTTCTTCAAACCATTCCATCGCTCATACAACTGATGTATCTAGTGCTCTACTGACTTCTGTTTGGAGACCAGTTTCATGTGACTGTGAAGCCATTGAATCTGACGTCCATCTTTTCAAAGCAACATCAAGTATGTTCCAGTCGTCTTTTTATGTGTTTATTTACAGCAGCTAACGACAGAAATCAAGAATTTGTTTCACTTCCTACATATCGAATTCGATCAATACCTACAAAAGCTTCAAATTCATTTGTGCCTCTTTCTGTCCAAACATCTGACTGTGGATGGGGATGTATGTTTCGGTGTGGACAGATGTTACTTGCTCAAGCTCTGGTTGTACATTTTCTAGGCAGAGACTGGAGGTTGAACAAGAGTAAAAAGTTAGTCTATCAAATAAATTCAACACAGTATTAAAATTCACTACTAATTTAGTATGACCTGAATATCTTTTTCACACGAAAGCTGGTGGTAGCGCTCATATGTGTATCTCATTGTTTGTGTTTCTTCTTGTAAACATATGTGAGAAAAAGCAGAAGGTATCATTCACTCGAATAGAATTTCGTTCTTGATCAGCCGATTCTGTTTCTTATTAAAATGAAATATCAGCAGCACTTAAAAAGCTGTATAACAAATGATGTTAATTTACTAATTATTGTGTATTTATATACTCAAACGTTCCATATCAGTCCAGACACTTCAGTGCCAATTTGCAACAGACATTCAATTAATCTTAACTCAGCGTAAGTTGGTTCTACATGAGAGCACTAAGTTTACATGAATTCAGTATCGATAAACGCTGCATCGTCCCCATGTCCGGCTTCTTGAACCCTTTTGTTTTTTTTCGCTATGAATCCCTACTCATTCCATTTATGTTAGGATAAAATCTCAAGATTTTGGATACCCAGCTGAAAGCTTACCGATTGGTTTTCACGGTTAATTTGATCAGATTAAAAGTTATCCCTTGTTTTTTCCGTAATCTGTGACATCGTGAATCCCCATAAAAAAGCTAGAGGTGTTAACTTAGTAGATAACCTTAAAAGATGTGACCGTTCATTTGGAAATATAAGTACCTCAGTTCCTGCCTTTTTTCTTAATTATTGAAGATTTTTTTATGCTGCATTATGAGTTGATCAAAGTAAACCAAACCTTTTATACTTATCGTTTTTGAAATAGTTCATCTTAAGTAGGATAAGCCTCCCCAAAATGTCACTTAGTTCTCTTCCTGTTGTACCCATTCCTAAACGATAATTGCTATTCTAACACAGACTCAGTTGACTCACACGAACTGGAAAACTTGTGTCGATAATCCGTTCTTGTTCATCGCTTAGAATCATATATTTAAACTTTCTCGCCACTGTTGTTATCTGAAACAGTCGATTCTCTTTATGGATTTCAGCAAGACAGTAAAAAGATGTAATTTTCCTGATTTGTGTAATATATCTGTGCGATACGCGCACTTTGGTATCTAGATGAAAGGTAGTAAATAATAATAACAATAATATTAATAATAGTAATAAAGGGCTAGGAAAATGAAAGGAGGTAGAATGTGAAAACTAAATGAAACTTGAGAATAAAAATGAAAATAAATAAGTGAAGGAAACAGTGCACTGACGTTGACTTTAATGTTGAGTTTTTCAAGAGTGGTTTAATATGATTGCAAAGTTTCAGCAGCTAAGTAAAGATAACATCAGCTTCTTAATGGTTAGGGCTTCAACAAATTTGAGGATAAGTCATCAAGAGGTTTTATAAATGGGCCCAAAGACGATACAAATATTTGTTTTACATGTCTTGGCAATACCTTTTGCAACTAAGGAGCTCAGATATCTGTTACCAAAACTTTTGAGGTCGGGTAAATCAATGTTTTTACAGACACTAGAATTATCGTTACTTTTTTACTTTCCTTTTACTTTCAATGATCTCTCCATACTAGCTACCATGTGACAACTTGGACTGATGTGCTGTTTTATTATTCTTCAAGCCTTGTTTCTCAAGGTGAAGTAGCACTACTGATATCTTTAGGGAACAACAGTAGTAAACTGTCGTTTTATGCGGATTAAAGCTTGGATAAGTTAATTTACCTTATCATGTTGCTTGCGGTTGCAGATAGTACGCTCCTTAAGGAGTTGTCCAAAGTCTTTTAAAAAAAACACGAAACTAACCTCAAGTAAATGTCTGACAATTGATGTCACCATTCATCACAACCAGTCCATTTTTAGTTTCTATGTGCTGCATGAAAATATCATTGTTCATGTTATAGGGAGAAGTAGTCGTTTGCATACTTACAGTAGTACGACAGTACTTTTTATTGACCATAATCTCTCACATGTATCCCTTGTTTAGTTTTTATTATCTCATGTACAATATCATCCTCCTGTTTTGAGTCCACAAAACAACTTAGTCGAAAGCGAAAAACTAGATGTCACAGAAATAGTTTTTTGTGGCACAAATGCAGTGGATCTTAATTTTTTTTATCCTCGTTCTCATTGACTTTAACCTTGATGTACTAGTAGTAACCTCGACAAAGAGCAGGTATTTTACGTGTGCCTATGTCTCTTGTGTTCTACGTTCTCCATTCCGTTGGTTTCCAGGTTCTAAGTATGACTGAATATTAACCACTGGGTGATTTCGAGTAATACGCTTCCTGAAGGCACTCATTTAGATCCGTATAATCACTTTAAATCTCTATTATTGGCGGGCTGTAGTGACAAATAACAGTTTTCAGAAAATATTTAAAAATAGTCATATCACGTACACTTCTGATAGTTTTATTTCTTAAAGTTTACTGCATTTTAATCAAATTTTATTACTAAGAGTTGTGATTTCCTCAGTGTCACTATTTCTGGGAGTTCAGATTTCAATCTTCAAATTATCAGATGGTTCAATGATTCTTGGTCTCCATCTTCACCTTTATCCTTGCACCGTTTACTCCACGTAAGTGGCAAAAAGCCAGGCGAATGGTGCGGACCAGCTTCAGTATGTACAGCAATCTTACGTGTTATGGCTAAAGGAAGTATTTTGGAAAAACGTCTGAGCCAAGTGGAAGTATACTTAGCCCGCGACAGGGTTATTTACCGTGAGGTAATTGTGTACATTATTTCTTTACTTTCAAAAATGTTTGTTATTTTACGATTACTTGTACGAAATGTAAACATATGTTACAACTAAGGCATAAAACTGTTATTTTGTGAGACTATCCTAAGTAGGTTTTTCATTGTCAAGAATTCTTCGATCCATTTGAATTAAAGTTCAGCAGGTCCTAATAGATCTTGTTCTAATGCAATAACTTCATGTGCAAACTCCAGTTGCTGAGCTTCATCGTCAGCTAATAGATTCCCTTTCCATAGGATGTCACTAGTCGTAAAATCGTTCTCATGTAGACGTAGCATCCATCGCAACACTTTCTTTCACAGGCCTGTTACTGTCTTCAACCGCTCTAGGGGCTTGTGATTAAACTCAGTATGGGAACTTTGACCGAATAAATAAGCTCTCCATTTGTCTGACACCCAAACTTATCACCAAGCATTGAATATTTCTGCCCTTCAGGCGTCAAGATATCATAAAGCTCTCTGTTGATGATCGTATCTAGCATGGCATCGAAATGAAATGCTAACTAGACCTTCAGCTCATGAAACATCTGTCTAAACAGACTTGTATTTACCAACGTAGACTAAGACAACAGTTACAAGCAATAAATGTTCATCTTGGTGTGATCAACATCAGCCTAGTCTCCATGATTCAATGACATCGAACATCATATGCTTTTTGGCAAAAACAGTAGATGTATAATCTGCTTCAATCCGTTCACTTTTATTTGATTAGGATTTTATTATTTTGAGAGATTTATTCTCCCATTGAACTAGTATATATTTGTAGTTAGGATGAATCGCGGAAATGTTTGTCCAGATGGTTGATTTTCTGTTTTCATGAATATGATTATGTTATATCTATTCTCATCATACTTTGTCTTTTGTCGAAGCCTAATTCTATTAGTTCAAATGATCCTTGACAGTTTACTGCACTAAAATTATACGGTGAGTAAGCATATTATTTCCGAAAGGCCTTTTAACTGAAATAAACTTCGTCTAACGAATGTATGTTAACACTTTGAGTTTACTCTTATTCTCTTTGTTTATGACTATTTGAATAATTCGGAGTATTTTTACATCTCCGAAATATTTCGACACTAGTTAAATAGCGTTAAGAGGGAAATACGTCGTAAATATTTTGAGTGAAGAATTCAGATAGCCACTCGGATGTTTTGCACCTTCAAAGCAGGAACTTTTGCTGACAGACTGTGACATGTAGGCAGAAGTCGATCACCGAAAATGGTGTGTGAAGATATTTACTGCTTGACAAATTGGATAGCTGCACTCATTTTGGTAGACAGGTCAGTGAAATATGGATACCAGTGCGGGAGGTTCGAGTAAAATACAACAACGCTTGTCACTAAGTTCACCATCGAAATGTGTTCACTCATTGACCAGATCCTACGTAGTGCAACTTCCCGTCTGATAGGTAATTATTTTAACCTCTTTAATCTGCGCATCTATGGTACTTTACTGGGAGCACTAGATTAATGGCATCAAAGATGAACTTAGGGTACTATTTAAACAAGGTAGGCTGCGGAAGGGAGACGTCATCCTCGGTCTATGTGAGTAAAACTAAATATCCCATACGACACTAAAGTGTAATTCTGTGTGCAGTAAGAGGAGAGTAGGTGAGCCATGGATTCAAGCATTAAGTCAACTTGTATGTGATGATTGCCAATGCTACCTAGAGAGTTGCAGACTACCGAGGTGCCATCTTCAGTTTTGATATTCACATTTACCTCCTGCGATTGCATTCTAATATGCTTTTCAACGTGTTTCCTCGGAAGTGATAGCAATTTAAATGTCTCTAAGTAGTAACTGTTAAATTAGCGGCTGCATGCATTGACATTCATTGATCACAAAGAAGTGAACTACTGTATTCATGCAGCATCCGAAATAAGTGATTATCTTTATCTTGACTACTCTTTTATGTCATCATTTTCTATAGTTCTACAATCAGAAGTAAAGGCGTTATCTACGTTTATAGTTCCCGTTAACCTATTTTATTGTTTGAGGACTTTTATTTGGCTAGTGTTATACTACCTGTAATGAAAAAAATATGAGATAACTGTTATGCTGATAGAAAAGTATGGTCTTTTTGCTTTCATGTATCAAGGAAATTATGGATCTTGCAAGAGGTTCGTACACAACGGATAAATATCGCACCAAAATACACTTTACTGATCATACGGCCTTCTATCGTTTACAGTCTGATCAGACTAAGGGTACGTACTTTAAACCGTCAAGTTATTAGCTTCTATAATTTTCTGTGATACACGTTCGTTTACTTTTGTGTTTTATCTATTCTCGTGATGGGAAATGACGAAACTAGGTTAACGGGTGAATTTGACTGGTTTTACGGGTTGGATGGATGAGATTATAGTGATGATAAAAATACTAGCATTAAGCGCTTCTACATGAAACTCTTTCACTATGTCGTTTTTAATCTAGCAGTTTTGTGTTAGCTATTCAAAGTGTATTGTTGTTACTACACAAATATATAGTACTGGTAGCTTTCACACCACCTTAATTTTCCGGTTTCATAGGCACAAAGACATAGTTAAACGCGAAAATTTTCGACGTACAGTTTTTTCCATGGGTAATTAGCCAATCAGCCGTTATTGTTAGTGGCTTTTTATTAATCCATAGTCCTTATTTATAAAAGGCTGATTAACTGGCAAAATCAACGTAGAACCTCACACACAGGTGCATCGGTTCAATTTCCTACACTTCATTATTCATAAAAGGTAGTTAACTGGAGAGCTTGAATGAAAATAAATAGATTGGCTTGTAAATATCAAGATGAAAATTTGGCCTTACACTAATAAGTTGAACATTGAATAGTCATTTTATAGCCGATATGTACCTTCGAAATTCCAGTGAAGGGAAATAATTTCCTAAAAGTCTAACCTTCTACTTCATTAGGATTTTATAAACTTTTTTTTACATAAATGCTCAGTGGTCCATAGAATACGATATAGTTTATCATTTTCTGTAGTGAAGATTTCAGATCACTTATTGCAGCGCACTTTCGAATTTAGGACGCAGGTTACAGCAAAAAAAGCGGAAAGTTAGTGGATCTGGTCCTAGTCAACAAAAAGGTTTGCCATAAACCTGTGTGAAATATGCTTGCATGACCATCCCAGTGTTTAAAAATGTTGATCGACATTTTTGTTATGACATCGGCTTATCGCAATACCTGCGATTTTAGATAGTGTAATTAGAAGACGAATTTTATCTGAACAATGTGATGTATTTGCCCAATACATTTTGAACAATCTGGTCACATTTACTGCTTAATAGGATCTATCGTATCTGTACATCAAATAAGATGAATGAAGATATTAAATTACTGACGAAAACCCTTATGGAAAACGTTGAAGTTTATAAACCGTTGTAGAAGTCAGGCAGCACCGAACCCAACTCTATAGACGGTTCCTAAGAAAAGCATTTGTATCACTCTACTATACAGAGGCGAGAGGGAGGATGAATAGTACAATTTTGAGACGAAGGCTAACAGCCGCTAAGAAAACACTAAGCAGCTAATCTTATCATTGTGGAAAAAACAAAACATATGCTTCACTACAAACCTAAACGGCGCATCAGTGATCACGTCACATCCCGTTGTGTTGACCAATTTACGTGTGTAGTAACATACATTATTATCATTATTAGTCCCTTGGGTTCTTAATGGAACATAGGGCTTCAGTAGCACGTCTCCAGTGAACTCTGTTCTCTGAAATCTTTTGAACCTGGCTCCACGACAGCCCACAAGCTCTCATTCCTTCCTCGCACGACCTCCTCCATGCCACCCTCGGACGTCCAACTCGTCGCTTCCCATGGGGATTCCACTCCACGGCCTGACGCGTGATGTCCCCAGTCGGCCTTCTCAGTGCATGCCCAATCCATCTCCACTTCCTTCTACATATATGTTGAGCGATACGTTCTTGGTTGGTTCGTTCCCAGAGCACCTTGTTGCTTATTCTTTCTGGCCATCTGATCTTCAGTAGCAAGCGTAAGCAGTTGTTGATGAATGTCTGTAGTTTATTGGAAATCCCTTTCGTGACGCGCCAAGTCTCTGAACCATACAGAAGCACTGACTTGACATTGGTGTTGAAAATCCGGATCTTGTTCCACATGCTGAGTGCAGAAGATCTCCACACTGGTTTCAGGCTAATGAACGCCTGTCTTGCTTTTCCGATTCTGACTTTGACACCTTCGTCTGTGCCGCTACCTGTAGTTGAAACAGTGCTGCCTAGATAGGTGAAGGAGGTTACTTCCTTTCAGCTTCTCCCGTTGACGGTGATTGGAGTTTGTTGTTGTTGGTGGTGGTGAGGTATCTTACTCACCTCTGTCTTCTCTATATTCACTTGAAGTCCCGTCTTTGCTGTCTTGCCTCTTCTGCCAACTTGTTAGTTTTCGCCTGTAGATCTTCAAGTTTGTGTGACATCAGACACAATTAGTAACATACACAGGAAGGAGTAATCGAGCCATACAGCTGAGGGTGGGAGGACATGTACCTAAATGACTTCAAAAACAAATAAAGCGTGAAACCTCGATAAACTCAGGTGGGAAACGACCATCTTCACCTACGACTAAACATCATAAAAACATGTCACAAAATTAGTGTTCAAACAGCTTTCAAAGTTTTATATAGGAACAGTCAGGAGCCCATGGTGAGATTCGCAAAAGCGATAACCATACACAAACTGAAACCACTTTTGTGTGTACAAAAGAACTTGTTCTCACTACACCTACCTCAGTAAACTTTGTTTTTTTAACAAGATTAGGATCAACCATGTCACTTCATTTTTGTCCTCACCTTTCTTAGTTTTAAACCCATATTATCTTAATTGTTACATTTGTATTCCCACCTTTCGGCTTAATGTAAATTGGATTTGACAAGTAAGTATATGATCAGATTGTCCAACATATATTGCGCAAATAGATCACATTGTTCAGATAAACGTCTTCTAATTATACTATCTAAATTCACAAAAAGGACTGATTGTTTCGGATATCTACAACTCCATTTTATCTACTATTCTTATACTTATTGATTAAAATGGCTTACTCAGTTCTGATTTTGATAAAATGCAGCCAAGAAACAAATGCAAGTATTTTAAGATTTCTAATTAAAAATAAATATTCACTAGGTCCAAATGCCCAATAATACAACTTACTAAGATTAACGATTTGCTTCTTTTCATGTCTCTTAGTTTGTTGCTAACCTGAAGTATGATTTTCACGTATCACGGTTCAGGTTCACAAATTACTGGATCACCAGCTATCCTTCTTCTAATCCCTCTCATGTTTGGCAAGGAGAACCGTATCAACCCATGTTATTTACAGATGATATTGCGCCTGTTTTCTGACCCAGCTTTCGTCGGACTGATTGGTGGCCGTAAAAAACACTCCAGTTATTACGTTGGTTGCCAAAATGATTCGTTAATCCATCTAGACCCACATTTCACACAACCAGCACAAAGGTTAGATTCAGCTGAATTCTCGGTTGCCGTAAGTACGGATTTTTCTTATTTTGAAACAACGAAACTTGTTGCCCATACAACAACTTATGTTGTCATACCATTCTTCCAGACGGGCTGAATTCTCAGAACTTTTGGTATTAACTTCGACAAAACCTATAGTAAATACCAATCTTCTGTTCTTGACCATGATGCTTCATAGAATAATAAGAACAACAGATGGAGTAGGGAAAACCAAGTGCAATACACCTTATTCTTACATTTTCTCCTCACTGAGCTTAAGTAGATGACTTGAAAAAAGTGTTGTTTTCCTGTAAGACTATTCGAAACAAGACTAAGCTCGATATTTATCGGTTAGTACTGACATTTACGCACAAGTAGACAGTTAAGAAGCACGTACTGAAACTGTATTGCAACCGGTTGCTGTCCAACCGATTTTTTCATTTACATTCTGGGAGAATCAGAACAACTATCAATTTCTATAAAAACAACCATTTACGTCCCGTGGTTACTTAAATAGAGTAAAAGCAATGTCCGTTACAGAATGTGATTTATTTAGTTCGGTATTCCTGAAGTGCTGTTCACAAAAATAGAGCCTGAGATCAAGATATGAACACTAGTTGTGGACTAAGCACAACGGGTCAAAAATATTAGCAAAACCGTCTCTACACTGATGCAAAAGTGCCATCACAAGAAACATTGAGCCTTAAGGTGCATAACGCTGCGACTTGCCGAAGAAACGGAGACGAACTAAATGCTACGTAGTGCTGTGAAATAAGTAGCTATAGCATAATCACCGACCTTCAGGATCGGCTGTTGAAGTAATACGGCAGTTTGAGATATAATTCTGAACCAGTCAGTAATTCTTCATACGGAGTGTCTGTGTTAGGAAATATCTAATCATTCGTTGGGCGTTCGCAACGTCATCCCGCGGCATATTTTTCTGCCTCCCCGCTCCTGCTACCACTACTGAAAAAATAACTGACTGTAAGCAGCTTCAGGAGGTTTCACGGCCCACCATTGTAGGCAGTTGGTTGTTTTTAAACTCCACTACATGTGTGCGATCGATTCGTATCCCTCAATCGAAAGTAGCTAAGCAATCCTAGGAAATTGATGTCTATATCATTGAGTTCATCATGGAGCTTATTCATGAGGAAACCCAAGGTAATAGGAACTAACCCCACAATGAGTAAATTCTGGCGAGTGTTTTTAACCAATGATTTTGCTTGTATTTTTCATATTCCGATGCCCAATACGAGTTGTATCTCATTTTAGTCTTGGTACTGTCCTATTCCAAAAATCATGAATGCAACCAAACTTGATCCTTGCTGTGCTGTTGGATTCTACTGCAGAACCAGAGGTGAACTCAGCGACCTTATGGACAGGCTACCTTTCTTAATGTCGCCAAGTGATAGCTCACAAACAACCTCACTTGAAAACCGATCAGTTAGACGCTTTGTCGAAGTGTTAAGTCTCGACGAATCAACCTCCGTAAATCCTATAGTACCATAGTCCTTCCCAACACTTTGTTTTAAGTGTAAGCTTTGTGATACAAAATTTCGAATACATAATTTTAATGTATTAATTTGTTATATTTTACAACCTCTAATCCCAACATCCACCCAAACGTAATGAGGATCAGAATTATAACAACATATCGATGTCCGTCAACCTAGTTCGAAGCGATACATGCTCAGTGAGTCGCAGTTGGGAAAACAGCAGTTACTGGGATGCAGTTACACACAGTAGGTGTAGGTAGGACAAAAAGTGAGTTTTATTGCTAGTCATGAGTAATACAATTAATTGCTAACTTCTTCACTGAACACTGACCACACACAAAATAAACCTATGTAAGATATGTACTCGCGAATCAGGATAAAAATGAGGATTTTGATGTAGCTCTGTGGAACGCTGCCTTGTATGAATTATGTATTCTAAAAAAGGTTTTGTCGACAACGATATATCCAAGAGGCATGGACAAACCAAAGAGTAGAAAATCCAGTTGGTACTATTCAAGGAACATAATAACTCCAACATTCGTGTATGTTCATAAGGAATGTCATTTCAAGTGTAAAAAAATTAAAATGCATCAGAGATCAATAAGTATTGTCATCAAAGAATCTTTCTCAGCTAGTCACACATATCGACTTCATGGGGACCCAGAATTCCAGGAACACAAGCCTGACGTTTTATCTTTGTTGCTTGAGCTTGTGCAATTTCAGCTTCCCTTTCTTCCAGATACAAATCAGATAAATCCTCTCCTGCAACCTCACGTATCTGAACAAGAAAGTCGCGCACGTGTTCTCGAAACGCGGCTACGTCTTGATCAAATGAAAACAACCCATCGATGAAAATACGGATTTGTGTTTCTTGAAGATGAGGAAAAACCTGTTTGAGCAGTTGGCTTAAACTTTGATGCACATATTGTACATTGACCTTTGAACCTGGTGTAAGTGTTGCTTCTGTGGAGTCGCCAAGAGGGACTGTGATGATATCATTCTCCACTATTTTAAACATGTAGGCTAGCAGTGAGGACTGGAGAGTTAAGTCTGGAAAGCAGAGTGATCAATATACACATGTAAAAATAATCAAAATAATCTTATATATATAATTGCAATTAATAAATGCATACTGGCAAGAGTGAGCTTTTAGTAGTTCCTACACCACTTGATGTCAGCGAGTGTTTTAAAAACCGCACTGTTGTCAATATACACCTATTTTCCAAATAACTTTTCATCCCAACTGCAAAACCTGAGTAGGAAAAGAAATCTTTTCTCGTTAAACTGTGTTCTGTACTATAAATCACTAGACAAACCCAAAAAGCTCAATGGCTTTTATATGTTCTTGGTTCTAGTTTCAGTATCTTTTGGTCAGTGGTCATATCGTTTGCTATGGAATATGAAGAACAAACTGGTTAAATACTTACTTCCTGTTTGAGAGCGGTCTGTAATAACAGCAAACATGTGCTGTAGAATATCCATGAAGAATGTCTTAAAGAATACCTGACGTTGTTCAGAATTAGCGCTGGACATGTTTACAAGCATTGTGTGTAAGATATTGAGGCCTGTTTCTGAAACCTGAAATAGAAAAAGCATCGAATAGTTTATAAACCTTGTAACTAGTAAAAACCTCAAAGTGAATTATGTCTGTTAGCAAACATAATAAATGGTGCTGATAAGTTTGATGCCTCTTAAGTCGGTTGCCCATATAACTAAAGGTTAGGTCATGATACTTATCGGGAAGACAATATAGTCTTCCTGATAACCCAATGCCTCTTAGTCACTTTTGGAAAAAAAATAGCATATACCCTTTTATCATATGAAGGCTACAGTGAGAAAGAGTGGTCCTGAAAACCTTTCCGATGACTTCCTATTATTGGCGGTAGATTCATACAGCGACTAACCATGTCCATCAATCAGCAGCAGAATTGTGACTGGACTTGGACAAATGTTCTTCGGCAAAACTACTCTACTGATCAATTACCTAGCAAACATGAATGACCGACATAATCAGCGTAGAACATCCCACACAGGCGCATCGGTTCAAGCTGCCACACTTCACAGAATAATAAGAACAGGTGGATATCAAAGTATACATAATTGTGTGAGAGAATAAACAATTGGAAGATAATGGTTAGGGCAAATATCCAAGCTTTAGGAAATGTCATGGAGTGAATAGATCCACGTTATTGCGGCCAATTTTCAACCATGTCACCAAGAGTCCTCAAACACTGATTCCTTTCGTCTCGTGGACCCCAGCTAGGCAAGTCTACATCTCCCTACACGGTTCAGACCAACAGTAAGAGATTTCATTGGCTGGTGCCACGTCTTGGTCTGGGCACTCTGAATCCTCTTTCCAACCTAACCCAACTTTCCTTAGTATCGCACATCGAGATAGGCGATGGTTCAGCATGCAACACATGTCAAAGCCATCTCAGTCGATGAAGGTTCACAACCACATCAATCGACTTGTCAATCTTGCCTAGTACTCTTCGCCTGACTTCAACATTGCTCACACAGTGAAGTGGTCGACACATTCCACCACTCCACTCCCTATCATTGAACTAGGAGTGGTTGTAGATCAGTCCTGGAGCATCATCATACATTTGACATGTGCGAAACGCATGCCAAACATAGTCAGATTCCCATTCAACACGTTTAGAAGACCTTGGATTTTGTTAGTGTCTTTGCCTACCAGGGCAATATCGTCTGTATACTCCAATTCAGCCGGATGACCTCCAGGAAGTAGATCAATCCCTGTGAAGTCAGATGTACTTAAAGTTATGCTCATTAGTACGTTTATAACGAAGTTAAACAGGGACGGCGACAGTTGACATCCCTACTGGACACTACTCGTTGCGTCAATTCAGATGACAACTCTCCGTAAGCGCTTACACGGCTGCTTGAGTTTGAGTGGAGAGCTTCGACTAGCGTTATATACTTTCCCGGTACTCCTTATACAGTCACAGACTGCTAGAACCCTTCACAGTCGACACAGACAAATGCCACCTTCAGGTCAAAAATGTGTAGCAAAGGTCGGCCACTGGTTGGTAAGTTGTGCCTGTGTTCCAAAAGCTGTCAAAGGGTGAAAGTATGCTCGATGCACCCTCGTCCAGGTCTGAAACCTGCCACGTTTTCTCGAGTTTGCGGTTATCGACCTCCAGTTAGACGTCGCATAACTATGGAACCTAGGATCTGGGACACCATATTAATCAAACTAATTCCCTGATGGCTGTCACAAGATTTCTCTCCGCTCCCCCCTCCCTTAGAGACTGGGAGGATCAGTGAACTAGAACAGTCTGACAGGACTGCCTCGGATTCCCATTTCACTACCTAACACTTCCGTCACTTAGATGAGCAAATTTCTACCTTCTTTCCTTGGAAACGTCAGGTGGCAAACTGTGAAGTCTTGCTGCTTTGGATCGTCTCAGGCTCGACACAGCCTCCTCAACTTCAAGGAAAGTTGGAAGACCGACATCTACGTCCCATTCAGGTTCGGGCTGGCTGGATGTCGGGCAACTGAAGCTCTGCTCAAGGCTAGCTGGGCTGTGTTTCAAAGTGTTCTCCCCAACGTTCTAGCTGCCTGTCCTGGGAGGTTATCAGCGTCCCATCCTATTCGGTGATTTCACTTACCATAGTCTTGTTCTTCCCGGTATCAAGGTCAAGCAGTGGGACAGCCAACAGGAAAATCTATACAGTCAATGACAAGAATCAAAGGAAACAACCAATCATAGACCGCTTCGTCAAGGCAAGCTACCATATCACTCACGGAGAGATATTGACAGCTCACTTCATACTGAAGTTGGTGCTGATGTCGTCTAGAAGGACGATGAAAGCTTCACGATTAAACAACCCAGCTTAGAGAACACAATACAACCAAGAATAAGTTATGTTTGATTGGTTCTTGTGTACTACTGGAAGGGTGGGAAGGTTACACTTTCCTGCTGCTCACACCGTGAAGTTATTTCTTGTTAAGGTACCCGACAGGAAAAAAGACTTGCGTGACCGTAGTTTATAGGACATCTACTTGAGGTCTGTCACGCAACTTTTAGCAATGTTTTGTTTTGAGGTTTAGTTGTACTAGCGCTGGACAGACAAAACCCATACCGCCGGCACCGGGAGACTGTGGAAGGGAGGGGTGTACTATTCAAGAGGCCGACTCTTTCTAGCTCCCCTTCCTATTGGGGAGGTAGTATCAGGGTGGCACCGCTGGTCATCCAAAAGAAACACCTTATTCCTGCCGCATTCTATCCAGCTAGCAGTAGTACGACCTCGCCCTCAAACCGTCACTATAGTGTAGTGATTAAAACCACAACGGTAACCTCCTTCGTCTGATCACCGTCCAACAGATCTTTCTGGCATGATAGGCCTTCGAGGCAACAAGCGTTCCAGCCAGTGTAACTTGTCGGGTCATTGTGACATGCAAGCCCGACCACCATGTCAAAGTAGCATCTATCGGCCAGACTTAGCATACATACCTCCAGAAGATATTCAACTTGGAATTTCTTATTATTATTTCAATATTTTCCCAGAATTCCACTTTATTAATACTACCGTTAGCTTTTATCTAATTCCTGACTTTGTAGCAGTCAATACCTTGGAAAAAAAAGAGAGGAAATATTTCTTTCTAAGTACCTACTCAACTACCCCTTACATGTCTTTAAGTACAATTATTTTAATTACTATCCTAATTTCTATGATCATCTATCATCTCTAGGAATTTTGTCTTAGTATTCATGTTGTCATTACGATAATGGCCTCATACTCAAAAGCTAATGAATTTGCGCAAAGTACTCACAAACTCAGACTTGAATACCTACGCAGTTTACCGAACGAAGCGAAAATGAACCTCATAATTATTTCAAAATCATTCTTTTCTGCACAGCCAGGTAATCTGTAAGAAGCGGTACAAACAATTTTCTACATAAATTTAGTATAGACGGATCTCCTTGAAATCAAGTACAGTGATTTACACAAAGGCAAGTCAATTAGGAAGGTCATAAATCTGCACCCAGAGGTTGTTAGGACGTGTTTAATGGCGAGGACACCAGCTACTTCAAATTTAGGTGTCTAGACTGAAAATGAATTGGAAACACCTCCAAGTGAGCCTTCCGAGACATGCCAAAAATCTTCGAAGATAACTGCCGATGGGACCTGTTAGGAACTGGTGACTTCTTGACTTGAGTCTAAAGCAACTACCCATGAAGTAAATCCTTTCACTGAGTGTCGCTTTACATTCTTAAGGTATGAATTTTCGTTTCTTACACATTATTATCCTTTTTTATGGTCCATTTCCTTCTGTAAGATCTGTAAGATTAGGATACAAAACGATTTGGGACTATGCATCATTGCGGTTGATCCTACGTTGCCGTAATGATAAAGCCAGTATCCAAAAATTATATACAATTCATTTATCAACTTTAAACACGATAAACAACATTCATATGCATTTAGTATGACCATAATAAAGTACACGTTTAGTAGTAAAGTTACGAAGCATACAAATGGAAAAGTTGAGAACCTACTTGTCGCATTGTGTGTTTGATTGCCCATATAACACTATCTAAGATCAGTTTGAACTTATCTGGCGTTAAGCTTAACAAAGCGGAAAAACAATGAGCGTTTACAGCCTGTAGGAGGGTAAAGAAATTGGTCCGATGTTCGGGAAACTCCTCAAGATCCTTATCAATCATCTCCAAAGTGGACTGGAAGACTGCATCTAAAACTCGAGGCAGAGCTGGAAGAATATGATCTTCGAGACGATTAACAAGGGTAGCCATCAGGTTTAGAACTTCTGCTTCTCGAGCAGCAGGGAGATTTTTTGATAGTCATCAGCTACAGCATCTAACAATGGAGGTACAATATTTTCAGCAACCTATTTGAACAGCAAGAGATAAACAGATTCGTGTCAATGTGTATAAAGATTTGAATGATTTGTTGCATAAAACATTTGTAGACAACTTACAAATACAGGGTCTGTACTTCTCTGAATCCAGCAAGACAAAAGATTAAGTAGAGCTTTCTTAACAGACCTCATACTACGAATAAGTGGTTGCTTTGTCACTTGTTCTCCATTAGCAGCTACAGCTTGTCCGATATTTTGAGACATTATCTTATAAATATTTAACATGTCCAGATAAATGCGACCAAGCTAAAAAAAATCAGAGAAATGTTTTGTTGAAAAAGTCAAATAGTCATTCAGATCAAAATGATTAGGCTTTTTCTCGATACTAACCTGAACAAGGTATGAATGCCCAAGGGATTTACAAGCACTGTGATTTGTTTTCAATAAATTACACAACTGCTTCACAACTTCGAAGTCTCTCAACAGGTCGATATTACTAGCAGCCTGAACCAGAATTCCATCCCAAATCTACAGTAAAAAGGTAATATGTGAAGCTTACTTGATTGGGCAGTCGGAAAAGTCGTTCTATTTGTCTGGCTTGGATAGCTGAATCAGTTTGGGCACTGATAATAACTCCAACAGCTTCATAGAAAGTATGAACTTGTTGTGGTTGTAAATCATTTATTATAATGTCAATTTCTTTCAATATCTCCTCAATGAATTCAACTGCTTCACCGTACTATATAAACAGAAAAAGAATTCAACTGTTAAATGATCCATACAAAAGAATGAAGTAAAACGTGCTCTCCCACTTATCGATACGAAATTCAAAACTGAGCAGGACCACATTGAATGGATGCTTATGAAAACACAAAACATAGAAAGGGTCATCACATGGACTTTTAAAATTCTGTATAAAGTCGATGCTAGTTATGTTTCTATGCCATCTGAAAGGAACACTATGTACGCTAAATGCCATGCGACCTAAATTTGGACTGCAACATCATGGTTGGTTTGATCATTTGCTGATAAGTAGTTCCACATCCAAGTTCGTAATCTGAATATGCTAACAGCACAAAATGTCCGGAATAATTTTCAATACACTAAATAAAGTTGCAGGTTATACTAAATCCTATTGTAAATAAAGCATAGAAACGATGGTAGACTTAGGTTTTCTTTAACCCCATGATTTAGTCCTCTAAATTTGCAGTTCCATATTAGATTTGTTTATTTGATATAAAGCGCACAGTGATACAGTATTATTTACTTTACCATACAAGGAAGGAACATCAGAAACCATACGTAGGATTCTCAACAAGGTTGGAATTAGGGTGGCATTTAAACCAACAAACTCACTTAGAGGTAAGCTGTGTCGGCTAAAAGATCCGATAGAACCAATTAAGCAAAATAATATAATCTACCAAATTCCATGTAATGACTGTGAAGTCAAATACATAGGTCAAACTAGCCGGTCGGGGTCAGTTAGATTAACAGAACATAGGAATTTAGCTAAACATAGAACGACAGACCCCAATAAGATCAATAACCTAGAAAAACACTCAGCCATTGCATTACATTCATTAACACACAACCACACAATAGGATGGGACAAAACCACTGTACTTAAGTCTAATATAGCTAGGTGGAGAGAGAGATTAATTACTGAATCTTTGTTCATCGAATTCACACCCAACACATGTAATAGGAATGACGCAACACCTATACCAGAGATATGGAAAACTTTACTACCAATCAAAAAACAAAAAAACAAAGAGAGATCAGGTGACAGGACTATAAAATCAGATGTCGAAAGAAGTGTGATTACATTGATATGATTATGAGCAATAATTTATGCTCGAAACGTAATCAAGTAAATAATACTGTATCACTGTGCGCTTTATATCAAATAAACAAATCTAATATGGAACTACATTCTACCACAGTGCCCAAGTTTTTCACTTACTCTAAATTTGCAGTTTAGAAAGAAATCTTGACTGATTATATTCATGGAAAGTTTGCGCGCTACGGAGTGCAAAAATGCATTAGAAAATATTTTTAGTAAATGTTTACACAATGATAAGCATTTAATTCTGTCTAACCTAAAATTCTATTCACTAGCGTAATCACCAACAGTAGTTTTGTTTGAAATACTGCCGAAATCATGAGACAATTATTCCACAAGCATCTATTACATTTTACTGGTAATATCCTGATATTGTCTTTGATGTGAGTTACTGCGTAGCCAAGCACCAAAGAAAACATCTCTTAAAGTTCATTTGTAAATTTCACAAAGTTTGTGTTAAACGCAATGTCTCGCTAGCTCTCAAGTGTGAAGCTAACGGCAAGGTAACACATTCTTCCCACCATACCTGTAAGCCACAGTCACCAAACGCACAATAAATATATTCCTTGTCGAATCTTGCGTAACATGGACACGAGTTGATATTAAGAATGGATACCATCTGACAGTAGACTTCACATTAGTTTCGTCCTGTTTGGGACTCGTCAGCCAGATGCGCCTGAATCGGAGTGGGTTGTGTTACCACTGACATTGCCAGAAACACTGGAGCTACAACCAGCAGGTTACTGAGTTATTATAGCCACTCCCTGTGTCACGAGTATAGTTTGATAGATAATAAAACTTGCTATTTCCAGTTGTTAATGGGTTTAAACTGAACCGATCAGCATCAGTTGGCATATGGGTTCCTGCACAGATAAAGTCACCGGCTGTATCCAGGCATCCGTACAGGAACCCATATGCTGACACCGGTCTATTCGGTTCAAACCAACTAACAGCAGGAAACAAGTCCTACTATCAACAAATATAAATTACTTAAAAGAAGTGACTGCATACCTAATAGCCTAAAAATGGATAGGTCCCAATAGCAAATAGATATTCCAAACAAATCGCGAAACAAAGCCGAGATAAAAATACTGGCCATAATCACATAAAAAGGAAGTACAGACATACCTGTATAGTTACCAGCTGCCGTCGACATTTCTGAGCAATTTTGATGAATGTATCGCAAGCCATATCCTGCACACCTTCGTGTGTTTCATGCATGAACTCAAAAAGCTTGGTAATAACAGTTTTAAGGAATCGCCAGTGAGCACGAAGAAACCTGGGATACTGACCAACAACGTACATAATATTACTTGCTACAATTGCCTTATTATCTTTCCCACGCTTCTGTTCACACAACCCCAAAAGATCGCGTATGACAACAACCAGAAAGCTTCTTTCGTCATCTTCTTGCATAGCACCAGAGATGCTTCCAATCGCCCAGCAAAGCGTATTAAGATTATGCCAAGACCATTCACGACCATCAACTTGATGTTGCAACTTTTCAATCATAATTTTCTTTGTATCCTACAACCGACAATTAAACCAGAACTTGCTACAAGTCCTTTAGCTTTAAAATAAGTTAACACAAAAGCGTAGCAGTTAGGAAAAGGTTTTCTCAACGATATCATCCTGGAAAGGTGGATAATTCAAGAAATGGAAACGAAACTTGTAAACACTTAAAGAGTAGTCATCAATACTGATTCCCATAAGAAACCAGCGATATTGTTTCGGAAAACATCTTTCATTCCCTGTTTGTACGAAACCAGCCTTTCTGTTTGGTGTGGTTAAAAATTTTCATAATCATTTTCTTACTGGTGGTGAGTAACTGAAGTATGGTACTCATCTGATTATAAACACCCATTGAAACTGCTTAAACCACGTTTACCAGGTAATTATTTCACAAAAATGTAAGCCTCTCGATTGTGAAATATTTGTCAATGTAAAACAACTAGTTACCTCGAAACGTCACCCTTTTGTGAAACAATTAACTGAAAATAAACAAGCATCACCACTCTTGAATGATTATATCATAATCTAGAGGGCACAGGAAAAATAGTGATTATGTAACAGTCTGAGGTAGTTTACTCGGGAACGAAATTTTTACATGTCAAAACACTACAGAAACTATCCTTAGGTAAATAACTTACCAAACGCAAATTTATTTACTGCACCCTTTAGCATTCTGTAAAATCGTATAATGTTCATTTGTTAGCTAAGATGAACGTCAAACCTGTGAGAATTCAAATGATATTCACATCCCTTAAGCACAGGAATTACTATTTGAAAAACCGCTAGTTGAAATCTTCAGCTCCATAGTAGTCGGTCCGCCAAGCAATATTAGACACTAACTAAAGACGGCATGGTATAGTTTCATATCGCTGCAATTTGCAATACTTTAGATAAACACATTGGTAGTCAATATGAAAAATAAATTAAAATAAAAATATGAACAGTCGTAAAGTGTACGACAGAAAGAAAAGAGTCTCCAACCACCTATTTTGATATCCTTTGGATCCCAATCAAGAAGCACCTTTTGCAAGACTCATGCCAATGCAGAGATGTGACTCATTGGCTTAGATAATCGACTTTGAACCAGTGGGTTAAAGGTTTGAGCTTCGTTTGACCTATCGTGGTTTTGACTGCCAAGTTGTATCTCTAGGCTTCACATAGGCGTGACTCAGCTCCACAGATCGGTGTCACATTATCTGCTGATCATAAGGCTTCTTTCCGGTAGACTTGACTCTAATTACTGCATAAGAATACACCTTCTACACGCACATGCACACGAATAATTCTAACAAAACATAAGACATCTGCTCTAGCAGTAAATCTGAAATTCTGCGGACGGTTACTCAAGTGACAGTAGATCTAACAGTGGTAAAAATGACAAAACTTCAGTATCTATACGTATGTAGCAAAAATGTAGAATATTTAAACATTCGAAAGTGGGTTTGGTGAACTTATGAAGACCTTACCAAAATGTCATAAATAAGGATCACTGCACGACTGATCCATGATCCCAATAGAATCACAGTAATGTTTTTCAGTGCTGTGATTAGTTAAGAAACGATATTATGAAGATGAGTGGTAGCTGAAATCCAAAGCCTAAGTGTTCAGGGTTGTAGAAAGTAATATATTTTCTTTAAAGCGCTTCTTTACTACAAACTGTAAAACAATGATTTCACAAAAGCAGAGGTTTCTCTATGACTGATTTTCCTACCAGTCAAAACTAACCAGACTTAAAGTGGATAGAATGCTTTAATTTGGAAATAGATGTAACAAACAAACTATGAATCGATGAAATTGAAGATAAAACTTACAGAATGATCCAAATGAGTTAAGTACACTAGTGTTTCACGCATACTCTTATAGAGGTTCAAACTGTCTGTATCCTTCATGAATTCTCTGACAACTTCTCCGTGTTCATTTTCCACTACAAGTACCTCCTCCGGACGAGCCATACGTGAAATCATGATTCGTCGAAGCTGAAATGGAGAAAGCAAAAAAATTATGCTGCTCGGCAAGCACGTACATATGAGCACCACTTTATGAACCATACATTGTGCATCCATCATACATTCAGATTAACCTAGGACCAGACATTACTGCGTAACGGTCAGAGTTGCCACAGCTCATATCAGTACATCAAGTAGAAAGGCAGAGGCGCAAGATGAAGATAAGAGAATGCAGTCAAAAGAAATATAAAGTACAAAAAGAGAGAAACAGAGAATGAGAAAGTGGTGAGATTTGGTATAGCGTCGTTATGTAGAGGATAAGGTGAGTATACATCTGCGCCACTGACGCCGGTTCTCAGCCATATCACCTAGTCTCCAACCACTGGTCCCTCTTGCCCTGCAGACCTCAACCACTTAGTCTGCATAGCTCCACATGGCTCAAACCAACAGTCAAGGACTTCATACATCGGTGCCATGCTCTAGTCTGACCACCTCGGACCTTTTTCCAGCCTGAGCCTACTTCAGACAACATTGTGTGACGAGGCAATCGGTGACTAGGCATGCGTAACACGTGTCCCAACCATCTCTGTCGATGAAGGTTCATAACCTCGTCAACCGACTTACCCCTTCTCCCTAAAACTCTACACCTGACTTCTGTGTTACGTGGTGACACTACGGAATACGGCCTATACTACGGAGGCAACGACGGTCAAACACCTGAGGCCCTCTCATGTCTTCCACTCTCAATGGCCATATTTCGCAGCCATACAGTAGAACAGAGCTGACTGCTGTGCAGTATACGCGACCCTTAGTAGACAATCGGATATCACGGCGGCGTAAGTTGGCGAAATCCAATCGAGCCTTTTGTGCGACGGCCAATGAAGGAGTGTTCGGAAAAGCCGAACGGAGAGTCATAGGCACTATACGCCAACTATCTAAAATGTTAAAAGAGCTTAGCGGCTAGAGAAACAGCGCTATTAATGTGTACACATTTTAATGCGACATTTGATAATTAGCTTGGCTCTATGGGTAGTAAGGAAAAAAAGACATGTATGAATATAAAAACTGTAGTGTCATGGTGAACCCAATAATGAAATATTATAATGTGCTGATATGCCACTGTACACAAAAGAGACCCCTTAAAGTTGAAAAACGAGGAATGATGCTAAATTTACGAAATAACACTGCAATGCCAGCCAGCATAACGGGGTACAATGTATGAGTTTTATTTTTACATTTAATCACATAACACAGACGCGAGTTTTACTAGCTTGTTACTCTTCTCCACCTACTACGAAAACTACTTTTAGTTTTGTCATGCTTAGTTTGCAGTTACCAAAAACCTGAAACGCTCCACTGGATTCTTATTTTAGATTGAGTAGCCTTCAATGGCACAAAATTGTTCAATTCTCTTGAAGTAACACAGATGGCCACATATTTGTTTTGCGAACAAGATTCTCATTATGTGATTACCAATATATAATAATTATTTGTCAGTCACTGAAAAACGTTTGTATTCGGAATTGAAGCACTCTACACAATAGTGATAACAGCACATGTGAAATCCGTTAAATTCAGTCTAACGTTCCTACTAAAATGAAAAAATATCTACAGCTACATATCAAGTACTTAAGTTTTTTACCATAAAATATGTAAATACCTTTGATAAAATTGGGGCGTATTGCTTGCTTCGACCTTCCGCAATGGTGGGTTCCCCAAGAGTTCCTACTACCGGTGTGGTAAGACTTTCCCGATACAAGTCAGAAACCAGGATATTCCAATATTCTAGGCAGATCTTGAATATTTCTCTCTCTTCCACTTCGGAAAGCATCAACAGGTAAGCGTATGCATCTTGTAGCTTCCAAATTAGCTCAGGTTTCTCAACGAGGCTGCTATGGCCTTTCAGAAAAGTGGTGTAGAAAATTGCAAGATTTTGGATGAAATTCTGTTCATCGCTACTTCCACGTTCATAGGCTTCCTTTAAGCGTGTCTCTAAGGCTAACATCTACAGGATGATGGTTAGATAACTTCAACAAGCTTACTTCTTTTAGCTTTTCTGTAGTAGAAACAAACAATTCTACCAGTTGTGTATCATATTCATCAACTAGTACACCCGCTGTACAAAAATATATCAACAGATTACAACAAACCTATTTCAGCAAGACATTTCAAGGTAACATTCCGGAACAGAGGGACATTGAAGAATTTGAATACGAGAGTCTGTATGAGATTGGTTTCAAATATATATCCCAGAGGGATCCAATGCATAAAGCGAAGCAATGTCTCGAGAGTAGAGACAACGAGGGATGCATTTTGTGAGTTCTCCAAGACATACTGACAAAGCTGAAAGACTAAACTGAACTGCTGACACATAGAATCTTTGAGATGTTTGGCCTTGGTTTGAGTCATTTGTCCTAGAGAAAAGTCAAACACCTCTTCACTTAACAGCCGCAAGATAACCATGTTGTTTTGGCATAGCGATTCATTTGTTTTACTTGCACCAACAATATCACTGATAAAAGTTGACCAGTTATTGGGCCATTCATGTTTCAATATCTGAAGGTAAATAAATCACATCAATTTCTTACCTCAACCAGGATCATGTTCAATTTACCAAGATACGTTTTTTCTGATTCCAAAAGCTCTGAATTAGATGAGGTCTGAATAATCAAACCAACAATATACTTTTTAATGCCTAAAAAGCAACACATTAAAGGCTAAAATATCATCTACCTTCACACTGAGGACGAGCCAGAACCTTCCAACGTGTCTTAATTAGTGCTTCTAGTATCTGAAGAGCAAAGTATTTTGTCTCTTGGTTTGAACTAAATTCCAGGATGGAATCAACACGCATCCATGCGTCTGGATGCTCCTTTAGCGTGTTTAGAACTTTCTCTGCTACCTTTTGCTGAGCTCCCGCTTCATGATACATACAATTAACTACGCGGTCCAACAGTCCAATATCAAGACGCTGGGAAAAATCCAGAAGTTGTGCAGCAGCGGACTCCGATATTACCCCCATTGGTGAAGTTGGTGGCATGTATTGAGAAAAACCTAGGTGTGCATAAAACCAACAATCCATAAATTTTAATCCCAGTGCACACAACAAAACAGGTACGGTAAGCATGCATTTAACTGGGAAGAAAAGTATGCGCAGCAACGTTTTGTGAGGTCGACTGAGATGGTATGTACAGGCATTGCGCATGCCTAGCCACCGCCTAACTCGACGTATCATAATAGGGGAAGCTGGGTTAGATTGGAAGAGGATTCAGGGTGGCCAGACCAAGACGTGGCATTAGCCCACGACGTCTCTTACTGTTGGTCTAAGCCATATGGAGAGGTGTAGACAGTCTGGTTTGGGTCCTCGAGAAGAAAAGAATCTGTTTGAGGAATCTTGGTGACGTGGATGAAAACCGGTCACAACGGTGCAGATATATTCACTCTAACGTCTTTCAAAGTCTGAATATTCGCCTTAACTATTATCTTTAAATTGTTCATTCTCTCATACAACTGTCTACTTTGATATTACCCTTTTTCTATCCTCCTGTTCTTTGTATACTGCTGTGAAGTGTCCCAACGAATCGATGCACTTGTGGGGGAGGTTCTGTGTTGATTTTTCCTATCGGTATGCGTGTGAGAACGTTATTCTGAAATGCTAACGAGAAATAGTTTCCACTATTCAGTTACAAACCCCATATGCGTTTCCAGTTAATGCATGAATGAAACGCGCATCCACACATTCTACATACCAACACTTCGTTACCTGAAGGTGAAACCTTGATGGTTGGTAGTAACTAGGGTCAAATGGATTAGAAAATATAAGCATTGAAAACTGTCAGACAACCAAAATCAACGTAGTACCTCGGACACAAGTGCATTTGTTCATGTTGCTACATCTCACTAAAATCCGTAATTCACCTATAATTTTCGTGAACGAATGCAACTCCGGAAAACCCAACACTTATAAATCACTGCGCTGCAGTCGCACAACACCAGTCCCTCACCTGTTAAGCCTACACTTCCTACGACGTGTCTCATTCCTCCTTTTCTTATTCCAGCTCTTCTCCAAAGTAATTACTCCTATATTCTGAACAGTTCCTTACTCGACAAGTGCTACCAAGAATAAAACTCTGTAGAATGTTTCTAAGTGTTCTGAAGCCCTATTAATAAATGCCTACTCGGGTGATGAACTGAGGGAACCTACAAAAAGTGAAATTGACCGATTCACGCTAATATCTAAGCATGTTTAGATACCGAAATCTAGTGCACTTATTTGTATAGTTGTAGACTATAGGCGTTGAGGAGTATGGTCAGTTACGTGGGTCAAACCTTAAAGCAAGTAAAACCCACAAATACCTTTTCGAGTTCACTCTAGTTAACAATTTCGTCGGACCAAACGAGGTAATGTTGGCCACTTACCATATAAAAACGTCATGCCTGATGAGCAGCTTTGCCATATTTTCTCTATCTGACAGAATTATCTCGGTTCCATGCTTAGCACACTTGGACCGAAGTGTGGCCCGACGTCCGGCCCCATTGTCTGGCACCATGTGTACCACATCTGACCACATATCACACCCACAACCCCACGCTGGTTTAATTCTTGCCCTATTTAGTGCGATATTATATATATATATATATATATATATATATATATATATATATATATATATATACGCAAAGATAATGACAACGCATTTATTAAGAATAAGTGGTAACAGAAAAGGTGGTGAAAGACTTACAAGTTGTAGCCTCGAAGGGAGGCGTTTCTTATGAATAACAACCCTTACACCCAGCTCACCTACCTGACCTATGTAACCAAAATCCGGTTTACAACCGGTTTCACATGGTCAAACCTGGCCATCCAAGGTCACGTACCCCTCTGTCCAATGGCAACAGGTAACCTCATTTGGCTTTTTTATTTGTATGGTTAAGAAAAATCGATAAATGTCAAAAGTGAAGGTTTGTATCATGTTATTGCTCACATATGTCACCCGTTTGCATGAAGGCCAGTCCAAGATAAAGAAAAGTTTAAAAAAACCGATAATTGGCTGGGCAGAAGTGTTGCCGGCAGCAGTAACCTGCATTGCAAACTGTCAGACCTAGAAGGTACTCCAAACGACGAGAGTGAAGAACGATTAATAAAGTGCAAAACTTGGGTGCTGTGATAGAATGCAATTCCATATTAGATTTGTTTATTTGATACATAGCTCTCATTGACAAAGTATTATTTGCTTGATGACATTTCGAGCATAAACTATTTCTCATAATCATATTATTGTCATTATTTTTTCGTTGGGTTCCTAGTGAAACATAGGGCTTCAGTAGCACGTCACCGTTTCACTCCGTTCTTTCTACTCTTTTGAACTTGGCTCCACAACTGCCCACAAGCTTTCATTTCTTCCTCACACGATCTAAACCATGTCACCCTCAGACGCCCAACTCGTTTCCCATGTGGGTTCCACGCGAGTGACTAGCCTGGGGCATGATGCCCCGAACGGTGTTCTCAGTGTTTGCGCAATCCATCTCCACTTCCTTCTGTATATTTGTTGGGCGATGGGTTGTTGGCTGGTTCTGTGCCAGGCCAGCCAAGCATTGGCTTGGCGTTAGTGTTGAAAATCGAGATGTTGTTCACGCTTTGTGCTCAGTGCAGTAGATCTCCACACTGATTTCAGGTTAATGCATGAAGGTCCGTCTTGCGTTTTCGATCCTGGCTTTGACGTCTTTGTCTGTGCCGTCGTCTGCGGTTGAAACGATGCTGTCTTGCCTAGGTAGGTGAAAGAGACTACTTCTCTTAGGTTCCTCCCTCTGATGGTGACTGATGTTTGTCTCTGTTATTGGTGTTGTTGGTTGGGTATCTTCATCACCTCTGTCTTCCCTGAGTCCAATTGAAGCCCCGCCGTCGCTGCCTCGCCACACCTACCACCTTGTTAATTTTCGCCTGTAGGCCCTCGAGCTTGTGCGACTTTAGACAAAATCATCGGCGAAATCCGAATCTAGAGTCACTCCATGGGCCCAGTGTTTGCACATCTCCATCCTCACAGACTACGATAATAATAATCTTAATTCCTGAATACGCAGGCACACACCATTTTAACGGGTGTGGGCGCAGTTGAGCAGATCGTACCGACTGTTGTGTTCAAACTCAAACTCACCACTGGCTGTAAAAGTGAACTCATGTAACGCATTAAAGAAGAGTGTCAGATTAATTTTTAGTCTCATCCAAAGTGGTTCTAGACTTAGGGTTCTGCATCTGCAGTTGCAGTCCTGTTTGCAATCGTGTCCCAACAATCTAGCTGTGAAATACCTTTGGACACCCTCAATTTTATGTTTGTCTATTATGCGGATACCACTCAGTATAAATGGACAGTATTCTAACAGTGGACGTACGCAAGTTTTGTAAAGCAGCAACTAGACTTCTTTGAAGTGGAAGTTACGAACAACGCAACCCATCAGGATCCTAGATTTGCGAGTCTGTGATGCCACCTGTTCAGAAAATGCGAGGTCCCTTGAATATCTTAGTCCAAGGTCACACACACTTTTAAGAACAAGACGTTTCGTAGACTGAAGGTGTTGTTGGAGATCCACCGATGCAGCACCAAAACATGTCCAGCCACATTTGCCTATACCGAACTGGAGTTTCAGGCAGCACAGCATACGGATGTTATATCAAGCTCCCTTTGTATTAGTGCCTGGATGTGGGATGAATCGTCACGGGTGAATGTGTACGCAACTTTTAGGTCATTAGCAAACAAGAATGGTTTACCGTGTGTAAAGCATCTGCAGATGTCATTGACGTATAAAGTAAAGAGAAGGGGGCCTAATACACTGCCTTGAACAACACCAGAGGTGATTGGCCTAGGTTTCGAAGTGTGTGAATCTACCTTCACCACCTGAGTGCGATTGCTGAGGAAAGACTTAATCCGTCCCGATAGTGGATGGTCAAGTCCCATAGACAACAAATTACTTATTAACAGCAAGTGATCAACTGTGTCGAACGCCCTTGAAATGTCTAGATACAGTACAAGGACTAATTGGTGTCGGTCACGCAAAGTGGTTATGAAGTTAAAGAAGTCAAGATGGCAAGTTATACAGGACCTCGATTTCAGGAACCCATGTAGACTAGATGTGATGATGCTGCCACCAAGCATATGCTGAAAAACGCTTCCCTTAACAACTTTCTCCATAATTCTAGAAACTAAAGGCGCAATATTTTTTGGTCTGTAGACACTGGCTAGTGTTTTTGAACCAGATTTATATCTAGGGGGATAAATGATGTCTTCCAGATACCAGGATATGTGGGAGGTTTCAAAGAGAGAGAAAACATTTTAAGTAATAATAATGGAATATCAGGGCCACCAAATTTAAAGAAATGTGATGACACTACGTCTGTGCCAGCGGTGCTGGAGCGTTTTAGCGTCCTAATGGTTTGGTGAATATTAGAGTATGTGAATTCGACTGTATCTATTTTCCTTGGTGGAGGAGAAGCAGACCGTATCAAATTTCACACGAAAAATGTGCAGCTTTCAGATCACTAATTGAAAATAAGTCGCTGAATATTTCACACATATCCACTGGATCATTTTAAGCTTTGGTGTCATGGATAAGAAGAGGAATGTTATGTCTTGCGCAGTTTGATCTCTTCTTAGGGAGTGCTGAGACAGCATATACTCTGGATGAGCTAGCTAGTGCACGACTCCCTTCATTCTTCAGACACAAATCACGGTTGTGCGAGATAGGGTTGAGAGTACCAAGAATCAGCCGAAGTGCGTTAAAGTCGTGATGTCTGTAGTACCTTGTTGAGAGTTTGCGTAACTTTCTACGAACACTGGGAGGTATATATGGCCTATTGCTGAGTGGCATTTTTGAGACCTCCCAACAGGACAATGGTATCGAGTCAGGTTTTAGAGTTGTAGTAAAACATATCAATGGTAATTTGAGGTCTTTAGTGGTGAAGAATGATCTCCAGTCAATGCACCTAATCATTGGACACATCTGCTGTCAATCCATTCTACCGTAGTTTATACGTACTGTTTGGTGTGTAGTGGAAGCACCAATTGAAGTACTAGTTGCAGCAGGTGGCAGTGTGCATAATGCCGTATTGTGATCACTTCCTGGGGACTTGGAGCCTACATTTGTCAAAACAGGATTTATGTTATGGCAAATTATTAAGTCCAATACACTGTCACCTTTTGTAGGAGTTGTAACAACTTGCTCCCATCCAAAAATAGACAGTGTATGGAAAATATCGTCACACCTAGCCTGACCAGTAAGTGAATCCCACTTAATTTCAGGTAGGTTATAGTCAGCGCGTGCGATCTTATGATCATATGGGAGAGTGGATGCATGTTTCAGAGCCGTAATCAGCGTAACCTTATGATTGTTTAAGGTACCAGGTGCTCTGTAAGCATATCCAACTAGTGCTGTAGCATTCCTGTAGTGTACTGTGACCCACAGAGAGTCGCTCACTTTTCAAGAACCACATTTTCCAACCTGAATACAGTGAGAGTGTTCAGGAAGTACATCAGGCAACATTTACCTTTCTTGTTACTTCAGTTACATCGGAATTGTGTACACATGTCAATACCTATCTCTTCATCTGGTTTATTTGCGTGACACCAAGACTCAGTGATAATTATTACCGGCGGCTTATACATGAGCGCTATTCCTCTTTATACCGACAGTTTGATAAGGACGGACCTGGCGTTTATGAGAACGATGTACAAGTAGGAGGAGTATAGTGTGTAAAGCTTTCTAGTTGGCTAAGCAAGCCCAAAGGTATCTCAGTGTCGCTTGACCGAGTATAGTCTGAAGCCGTTGCGTTTCAGAACGCCTTCACACACTGTTCACTTGTAGCTGTAGAGTTACTAGGATATCCTAGTGGTAAATCGACAGTACAGTGACTTGAAATAGTATCGCCTTTACTAGGGGAGCAAGGAGAGATGTTTTTATTTAAGTGTTCAGTGTGCATACCATATCCACGTACACATAGTCAAATCAGGTATTTCGCAGTCTTCCGTCTCTACATTGGTCGATGTGGTTTTCCGTACATTTGAGTTGACAGAGTTTGGGGAAAAAGAAGTTTTAGGCTTGTGTATGTTGAAGGAAATACCCACTGCTCTAGTAAGTTGTGGCTCTGGACCCTTTTGACTGTCTGGCCCATGCTCAAAGTGATACACCTGCCTTTCCACCACTGTCTTATCAAGAACTATCTGTATTTTTTTAAACATAGTGTTGGCTGCTAAGACAGATTCTGCTTTAATGAATGTTTCAGCCTCCATCTGCGATCTAAACCAAAAACGTATAAGACAGCAATGGTCCCGCTGGCCTCCTTATAGTGGCAAACATTTTGCATGGGCATCATGCATTTTTGGCGTTCTAAGCAAAGTTTCTCGTGCCACCAACCTTGTCGTGTCAGGGAGGTTATTAACTATTGCGTTCAGTTTGAGTGCAAGTCTCTTGCCTACCTTAGTGGTGATAAAAATTTACCGGGTGATCTACCTTGGTTAGTGTTTCGATGTCTTTTCCATTAATGGGTTCATTACTCGTCAAGATGGTCAATGGCAAGAGACTTCTCATCTGAGCCCTAGTTTTTTCCAACTGGGGTGACACTTTGGACGCCCCTATCATATTTTTTGTGGGGCATTATTGTGTTTGCGATCCCTCAGTTCGCGCATTTCTGCCTTCAGTTCTTCTACAGTGGACTTCAGGCTTTCGATTTCTGGGAAAAGTGACAGCGTCACACTCGGTGGCTGAAGTCTGGTTAGTCTTACGAAAGACGTGGGGCTTCCACTAAGCTTTACATCTGCTCCAACATTTGCCGCCGCGGTCTTGTTACATGCTGAAGCTGCAGATTTCTTTCCA